CCACTTCCCCTAATGTCCATCTGTGAATCCTCCTCCCCTGTGTTATATTAATACCTAACTCACGTTTTCCTTAATATAATAGATAAATTAATTATAGAGCTAGATATTTCTCTCATTATTAATGAAATTAATATTCTTTGAAGTACATAGTTAGAAATTCATATTCAAGTTAAAATTATTGGCTTGACTGACAGTCAAACTTCTGTGGTAGGTATTTAACCTCGTCTAAATTATAATTCGAATAAAAAAACATTTGATTACCTTGAAACTATTCATAACAGGTTTATTTTGTAAATTATTCTCAATTTTCTATTATTTACTTAGTAATAAGCCATATTAGCTTATTTAAAAAGGAGACGCAGAGTAAAAATAATAAAGTTACAAATTCCTGAGACATTTTTGCGAAATTGGGTTTACATAATTTATTTTTTTTTGTGTTATAGGTACTTTCAATTTTTTTCAATTTTTGTTATTGGTAAAAACTGAATCTGAAATCTTAAAAGAACTTATTTATTTGCGATTTTTCAAAATATTAAATAGCTTAGTATTATAAATTATTATATTATCTTCCAAGTTGATGACAACTGTTCCCGAAAAAAAAAACGCTTTTAATATTTTAGAGCAACCCTTAAAACAATGAAAACTTACCTATTTTGCAGTAGGTATAAAAGATGATTTGAAAATATGAAAAATGTATATTTTATACAATTGTAAGCAATACAATTTGCCGAGTCTTATCTTTATTTTGTATGTCAATTTATAAAAATTGTGAAATTAATAATAATGGTAATAATTTACATAATTTACTAGAATCTGATTAGAAAAAGTTATCTGTAAAATATTGCTGCGAATCATTAAATATGTTTTTATTTGGCAAGTGTTAATGTTATCGCCTTTTAACAAGAGGTCCCCTTTATTGACTTTTTCATGATCTTTGATATTAAGAAGTTTAATTTTGTAAAAAAACGCAAATAAAAATGTTGATAACTTTTTATAAACGGAATAATTCTCTAAACATTTTATTCATAATTTTAGGAAATCCTAAATATTGAACAATGAAAACTAAAAATTAGCCTGCTCTTATGCATTTTTATTGAATCGGAAACAAAAACATAAAATCAGACAAAAGAAAATTCAAAATCTAAATATAACTGGAGTTAGTAAATCCATTTATTTCTAGAAATGTTTTTCTTGGTAATTACTGAAGCATTATGTCAAATCAAAGAAAGGCTCCTTAAAATAAATCGTCAGATATTCAGAAATGAGATAAAATTCAATAATTTTTTTTTACTATGCTGGGAGGGGAAGTACAAAATATATTTAACCGCCGAAAGGAACATTAACTATTTAGAAAAAATTTCCAGTGCTCTATTTTTCAATTTCTAGTGCCTCTCTGATAAAAAGATACTTCTGATAAAATCTGTCGAAATTGGGATTGGTTAATCTGATTCGTTACGTTGTTACAAGACAACTCTCATTTTCTTTTGTCTATAATTAGCTTCTTAATATAAAGCTATCCGCATACCAAAAGCTGCACTGTAGGAAATATTATTTAGTCAAAAGTAAAAATTGATTAACCCTAGTAAAATATCTGCTTTAAACGGGCTTCAGAAATGTTAGGATGCTATCATAATAAAAAATAGTTTGCTAAAGGAGCATATTAGGTGCTAAATAGTTTTTTATGGATTTTTATTGTTGCAAGACTACCTTATTACTGTAGCTAGAGTACGATTTTTACTCTAGCAAAAGTTTTTATCGTCGTTGTTAGGTCTCAGGATAACGAGTTTTATGACAATACCAGCAAAATCTTTTTTTTACTTCAGATAAATAACATTTTGTATACTAATAAGTAATTATCAGCTTTGTATAGAAAACAAATTCGCTCGCGAATCGACCACGCTAATGCCGATCGACTTTTTATCAGCCCTCACATGCTTCGCTATGCATTTCTTGTTAGATAAATTACCTAGTGCGATAAGCTACCTACTTACCTTTAATGAAAATAATGTATCTATTCACCATAAGAAGAGACTGTCTTGTTTTTAAGGTAGTGCAACAGCTAAATAATTTTGCTTAAGTTTGGTATATGATATTTTAACAGTAATAATAAAATTGCTATTATAGTATTCTTATACTATATTATTTCTACTAGTAGTACTACTACTAATATAGTATTTCTTCTTAACCGCACACCGAAAACTGCGCTGTTCTGTTTTGTACTCTGTTGATTGTAAGTTTATGAAGGTTGTTGGTTGTTTACAACATAGATATAACATACTATACTCCGCGGTCGAAATTATAAAAAGTGACTAAGTCATAATATAAAAACACTATTATCATAATGCGTATAAAATATAAAATGATTTTTATACGGTTCAATATTATTTATCTTAGTGCCGCTCGCTACGCACATCGATAGAATCTATAATCGTCTATAGACTGAGTTACACTGAACGTCGATCTATATTCTATCTCTGTCTTTTGCACTTGGTAGGGAATAGGGAAATGCCTTTTTAGTGGGTGTAAACGGACTTGATTTAACCCGTCCTGAGAAACGTCATAGCATAAGCGTAGACGAGGGGTCTAATTCCATGGCTATAATAAATTTACAAATAAAAAAAAACACAATTGGGACGTTTTAAAATGCTGTAATAATTAAACTGGATCAAAGTGCCTGTTATAGCAAACCGTAAAAAATATTAGATGTTATGTTTTATTATCTTTTTTCATTATTTTTTATATCTTGTTGCCTTTTACGCAGACGCGCCAATGGATTTTCGTTCCTGGAACGCTTCATCCCCCTTACTAGTCCAAAAGCTAGCGATGAATCACTCTCTATAATTTCGACCGTGGAGTATATATTACATTTTTAGCTATTTTCTTCAATACTTTTCCAACATTAATTTTTCCATTTTGTACCTGCTAATTGCCATAGACAGAAATAAAATGTATTAATTTTTTTATCATTCACTTTACCATTGCGTGGGCAACTTAGCACAGACCTATCCATCTTGATATAACAGAACAGCACAGGTGTACGGCTCACTACAATGTATTTTTTGTATTTAAGCTCTGGTTTAATGTACCTACTTTATTATTATTATCTATGTGCTGGCATCGATTCATAAGCCTACGCCTATTTACAATTTTGCGCGGCATATAACCTATTTTACATTTTTTATATATTGTTTCAATATTAATGGGTCAAACATAGTTGAAATAATAAAAAAGTTACACGAAGTAGGAGATGATGACTTAAGGTATTGAAACAAAAATATTTTCCTAAAATATCTCGAAAACATTGCGTAGATGATAAATGCAATGAGAGGTATATGTTGAAGTTGAATTATTACATACATACATCAGTAGTACAGTCACTATCACTAACAATAAGAACCCTAGGAATTCGACGTCACTGGATATTTTGAAAATTTTATAGCTGCTTGTAACTACTAGCAGTAGTTCTAAAGCCTATATCAGACAATGCAATTTAGTTGCAGCGACAAAATTGCGGGGATTTTGTTGCGAGGATAAAATTGCATGTTTATTATCACACAATGGGACAAAATTGCTGCAATTTGTTTAGTTTCCAGTAGAGTTACCAACTATGCATTGTTTAACATGTAAAATTTCTTGTATGTATCTTATAAACAATTATTTCTTATTCAAGCAAAACATTGCAATGGATGAAAATTTAAAAGTAAATTGCTGTATAGCTTTAACAGTGGCTTCAACGGTGTTACTAACAACAACCATGATCAACAGCCAACAACAGCTAGGTTGGCAATAAACAAATCTTCATAAAAGTAACTAGAATCCCTGCAATTTTGTTGCACGGAATAGAGCATGTTCTAATTCATGCAATTCAGTAGCCGGGACAAAATTGCATAGTCTAATAAGAAAAATTTCATGGATTCTATCGCGGCAACCAAATCCCTGCAACAAAATTGCATTGTCTGATACAGGCTTAAGAAAAGGTACATCAGAAATTAACCATTTTCGAGTTATTACTTTGACTTAGTTACAATGCACTGCAATAATTCTAAAATAATTCATTCTCACGCAAAAAACATTCGTACAAGTTCTTTCTTGAAATACAACTTCCTGGAGATATAACGTCTCCTATAAAATTTCTGCAACAATGATTTTTTCGGATCATATGCATACTTACATTGTATTATAATTTCTTTTACGAAACGCGAAGTTCTAGTGTTAGGTTAAATTTATTGATGTAGGTACAGTCCGTACTATATTTTGTTCAGATAGAATTCCAAGAAGACCCCTGCGTCACTTTCTTGGAATTAACCACATTCGACACCGGAGGTAGAAAGACATACAGTAAACGCCACGCCGCCAATGTCTACTTCGGGTGTCGAATGCGGTTAATTGCAAGAAAGTTACCCAGGGATCTTCTGGGAATTCTGTCTCAACAAGTATTGTACGGACTGTAACGGTAATGCATGTGGAAATAATAATAATAATTCGAAGATAATCCATTTTTCGCATCAAACAGAAGATACATGTATCTTCGTCACGTATTTATATGTATATGATTTTTTGCTTTCAGTTGGATAAATCATTAGCCCAAGAATTATAACTCTACGCCAAAGTGTTCAGAGATATTTTAGAATATGTACTTTATTCAAATTTCTACTCTCTGTATCTGGAAAATGAAGTTTATCCGGATATTTCTCTTGACCTGAAACATCTTATGTAATATTTTTTTATTTTACAATTTAAAATACGAAATAAAGCACAAATTCGTTCACAAGCATACGAAATTGAACTAAAAATATTATCTTTTTATATTTTTAATAAAACAGTAATTTTTTCTTAAATTATTTTTTTTATTGGCTATAAAACAATTGACACAATAAATTTTATCTTATCCTATACTAAAAATATATTGATTGGCAATTATTTAATTTATAGTTATTTTCTAACTTTACCAGAGATTTTTAACTTTTACTCAAAAATTAATAACGGTATTTTCTTTTCAGAGAAAAATACAGAACCCATGGCTGAAAAGCAGACGCAATTCTCGTAAGTAAATATTTCAGAATCGCAACTTTTTATTTTACTAATTTATTTCTTTATTTCAAGAAAAACATTGAACATATACTTAGTCGCTCTTTTATAAATCCTTTTATAAAAACTGATTTTATTCCTATCGTAAATAATTAAACTTTGTTTGCGTGCCACATATTTGTTATTAGGGACTCTTAAATCATTCAAAAAATAAATTACCTTGACGACTTTGTCTTCTAGTTAAATATAAACAGATCAGTTTCTTTATAAATTACAGTCAATTGTGGTGTAGATCAGTGGCGGCTGGTGCGGGAGGGCTCTGGGGCGCTGTCTCCACTAGGAGTAAAAAAAAATAATTAAAAATTTAGTTTACAATGTCTACGTAATTAAATAGATTAGCCTTATGAAACGACTTGCAAAATTCGTTTGAAAAACACTGAACACGTAGGTCCCTCGTAGCTCACCCCTAATGCCTCTTGCATGTTTTTTAAAAGATTATAAAAGTTTAAATTAAATTGTAAAGACTGATTAATAGCGTTTGCTATCTATTGAAAAATCACTGGAGTGCGAGAAATACCAAACTTTAATGAAAATGTAATTGAAAAGTGTATGTCAGACAAAAGTAGAGGAATTGACTATCACTATAAAAAATAATGTTGCGCATATTTTCCCGATATTTTAATAATACCTACTTAAAGTAAAAGTACATACCCAATTATATTTGATTCAATTTTTTTCAATACTTTGTACCTAACTATTTCCGCCCTCCCTAGTATGAAAGTTAACAGCCGCCACTGGTGTAGATTCATCGAAACAAAACTAAACCTAGTAATTATTAAATAAATAATAAAAAGGAATTATCTATTAAGATATCATTTGGCCTCATATCTGAAAGTAATAACATCTAACTTTTAATTGGTAGCAGGTACAGGCGTTTTTTTTTTTAATTTTAACACTATAGCACGTCTTGCACACTGTAATTTTTATAACATTATGAAATATAAGAGTTTGACATACAAGGTTCTGCATTTTATTCGACAACAGTATTACGAGTACCTATGTTTTATCACAATATAAAAATTCTATATTTAGGTACTTTTTGATTGCTGTAACTTTTGTCGTTTTGTTTAGTTTAAATTACGATAATTGAATAATTGCGAAAACAGCAAGTGTAAACACTAGCGATAATAATACGTCTGTAATAAAATAAAATTTTAAATAGTATACAGTGTGTCCCACTTAAGCATTAGCCACCCATGTAAAATTGTTATTTATTGACCGATTTGTTTCAATTTTTTTGTTTGATAGATCTCAGAAAAAGGAATAGAATGTATAATTTCGGTATTTTCTAGGCCATGGCCAACTGAGACGCGTTTTATAGGAGGAAAAAACGAGAATATTAGCGATTTTTTTTTTTTTTTCGACAAAAATTGCAACGGATTCTTATTCAGGACTATCTAAAACCCTAGTATACCAATTTTTGTGATGATAGAATACAGGGTGTTGCAGAAAATTAAACCTTAATTTTTTAAATCAACTGAAGATTTATTTACGAAACACATGCATTATTTGAATATTGTGTATCAGTATTATTCAAATTAGTAATAAACGAAACTTATTATTATGAAGTAACACTTTTCAATACGTCGACGACTATTAATTGTTACTTCTCGTAACTGTTGCCTAGTAATGTTACGGCATGCGTTTGTAATACGTTTACAAAGATCTTCTCACATAATGCATGTGTTTCGTAAATAAAATCTTCAGTTGGTTTAAAAAATTAAGCTTTAATTTTCTGCAACACCCTGCATTCTAGCACAACAAAAATTGGTATAGTAGGGTTTTAGATAGTCCTGAATAAGGATCCGTTGCCGTTTTTGTCGAAAAAAAATCGCTAATATTACTTCTCTTTTTTTCTTCCTATAAAACGGGTCTCAGTTGGCTATGGCTTAGATCACGAAAATACCGAAATTATACATTCTACTCCTTTTACTGGTATCTATCAAACAAAAAAAAGTTGAAACAAATCGATCAACAAATAACAATTATACATGGGTGGCTAATGCTTAAGTGGGACACACTGTATGTAACTCTCAAGAAAATTACATCTTTATGTTTGCCGCCTGTAATGTTCAAAGAAAATATAACAGAATGCCGGTAAAATACGTGTATGTTATATAGATATAAGCATTAAATTACATGGAATAATAAGAAATTTATTAAGATGATGGAACTGTGATTATTTATTTGATATATGTTCAGAATGATCTATAATTCTCTTCGAGCAAAGCAAAAAAATAATAATATGTAAAATCAATAGATATAATTCTATAATTGCATAAAATTATTTACTAATGCATTAAAGATATCAAAGTTGTAATCAATATTTAACATAATACACAATCATATGTTTTACCTGAAACAATATTTGTCACAGATGTTGTTTTGATATACGAGTTCATACTTGTGTTATTGGAAATTATCGGTATATTACAAAGCCAAATCATAGTATATTTAGTTTTACAGTTTAATAAGCAATATGGGCACTCACATACAGTGGAAACTTTTTAACACAAATCAATATAATTGTTACTTAATTAAACTTATTTTTTTCTTGTAAATCCTAGTAGAAATCATAAAGGTTAAAACGACAACAAAACAAATTTAACGATACATTTTTCTCAGAAAAAATGTATTCTAGACGATAGATTATAGAAATCTTATTTAGATACTAAATTTGTTATAAAAGTTTTCGACTTAATGTTAAGAATATTGTTCCTATTATCTAATTACTGCTCATATATTGTATTGTGTAATTCTTATCTTGCTTGCAAAATTGCAAAATGCGAATAAAATTATTTCCTAACAACGACCTTCTGTCGATTTATAAAAAAAAATAGGCAATAATATAAGTTGAGTCAACAAATAAATATACCAAAAAAAAAAAAAGAGGAGGATACAGTCGTCACGACAAGTAACGACGTCTATGTCTCGGGTTGAACGTGAATTCTATTAATAAATTTAAAATTTCGTGACAATATACCGCATTTTATTTGAGCAGAAACAGACACACGCCGGACTTTCTGTCGAACGTGGTTTGTTTTCACTCCTCGAATGACATCGTTTACGTTGTTTGGATGATACTGAAAATTTTCAAGCGTATACATAATATTCCTGATGCCAATTTTGTCAACGAATGTTTCTCTCATGAGATATGCGCGCATTGCATATTTTTTCACTGTTGGAATGACACATACACCTACATCTCGAGTAACGAGGAATGTGATATGTAAAGGTATGTAGGTATGGTATGGTATGTAGGTATATAAGACTTGGGCTTTACGCACACAAATGTATTGAACATAAATCTGCTCTATGGTCAGTACTAATTCATTTTTTAATAGGCTTCCCGGTTTCGGCAAGTGTGAAAAGACAAGATAGCGTTTGTGTGAGAAGGTAATAGGTTTGTTCGTGCAACTGTCTCTGTTTCTTTTTGTCCGGAGCATGCGCATTATAAAATTACCGTTTCTGCAGAACAAATCTCAAATTCTCACTAGATTTGGTATTCGAGCACGATTTTCAAACTGTCACCAAACTGTTTATTAACGATCATACTGGTTGAAGATGTATCTGTGGACTGCCAATCCGAGACATGAAAAAATTTAGATAAATTTAGAACGAATACATTGAAGATGATTTTTTCAAGACAAAACGTTTGAATATGGTTCGGACTGAGACAGTACAGTATTGGGGGTCATGAAGGTTTGCAAAAATGTAATAAAATTTCCAGGATCGTAATAATGAAGTTGAAGATGATCCTGGAGAGACGAAAGTGTTCTTCTTTTTTCAATATCACCTCAAACAAGGCTGAAATGAAACAAAAACGGATTTCCAAAATTTCAGTTTTTTTAAATCTTTCAAAAACTAATCAAGTTTTCAAACCTTGATTTTTAGGGGCATAATGTTTGTCCCCAGATTATGCAACTTTGCCCCCATTTAAACTACTTCGTATCTCTTACCGTTTCCAATATCTCTGTAGTGAAAAGCGAATTTGTAATAGCCTATATATTATTAGGATTAAAATCGAAGCTCCTTTGACAATATCGTAAATTAAAATAATTTTATTTTGCCCTCTACTTCTTTAACATTCAAGAACAACCACTGTCATTATGGAATTACAAAAAAAATATATAAAAAACCCCTACTCCAACAGATTTGAGGTATTATACCGGGTGATTCAGTTTGGTATTCGCGGCCCTGTATCTCTTTTATTTTAACAAATAGCTATAACAAACCCTATATATTTTTAAATCGCCGCTCAAACTCTATCAAATGACATTATTAGATCGTCTCCATGGTAACATATGTCAATTGTTTTTGTTCAAATGGCACACTATATATTTTTTTATCGATTCTGGAAGATATTTTTTTTCTGCGGACAGCTATGTAAGGAAGTCTATAGTTTCAATAGAAATATTACTAGAAAAACAGCAAAAAAGATGAACCCTACTTTTCGTACCTTTATTCTGAAAAATGGTAGCCAGCTACGGAAACAAGCTACTGTGTTTTTTAAAGTAACATATTTTATTTTTAATACGATAATAATATAACAATTTAAAACAATACTTATTTCAAATGTTCAAAATGAGCTCCATTTGCTTCCAAACACAGAATAGCTCTGTTTATCACTCTCTACAAACACATTCTAGTGTTTCTTCATTTAATCTCCGACATTCTACTATTATTCTGCTTTTAAGGTCGTCAATATCATTTAGGTAAGGCCAAAGAAAGAAATCTATAGGAGTGAGATCCGGAGATCTAGCAGGCCATTTAACATAATCGAATGTTCTTCATCTCTTGCCTTTCTGAGTTTAAAAACTCTTCTTTTCTTTTGAAAACGTTCATCTGCCGCCAAATTTCTGTCTAACTTTCCGAAAATTTTATCTGATGCAAGTTGTCTCTGAGGAAAACGATGTTGGTATAAATACCTGGCAGCTTTAGTGTTCTTTCGGTGC